AGTCATTAATTGTGATTAGTCAATCAAAATTCCTCCGTGGTTTTGAATTCTGAATGACTATTGGTCGAAAATAGTACTAAAATATTAAAGCCTATCTCAAGGGTATTGCAAATATTTGTATACCATTAGATATAGTGATATATTTTGATAACAACAAGAAAATATCTCAACGGAATTGAGTAATGATTTGATTACTTGCTCAGTCGATGTATAAATAAATAAAAACCTAAAATTTTTTTGTGACAAATTTCTTCAAACAATTTTAATTAAGTACTCAAGTTTCGAGGTACTAAGATAATTGTAAGAGATTGCTGATAGCGATAAGACCGCCTTTTAAAACATTTATTTTCATTGTTTTATATCTGTCCTATGTTTATGTATGCGCAATAAAGAGTTATTATTATTATTATTATTATTAAGATATTTTTTTAAAACAGCCGCTCGTACAAAGTATTCGAGGCAAACATTCAAAATAACAATATATATATATATTATTAATTCAAAAGCAAAAGCTATAAAATCAGTAATAAACAGAACTTAATAGGTTTATTCAACGATCAATAAACCGTTCAGTTATCATTTTCAAGGGTTCGTACATGAAACTCGATAACTGTTAACAGCCTAATGTTTTTTTTATAATAATATTGACTATTACATTCTATATTTTACCTAACTTATTGGTTTATATATAACATCGATATGTATGAAGTTGGTATTTCTAAAATTGGATATAGAAAGAGGTTCGTCGTGTTCTAGATTCCAAACATACAGACTGACCGTTTTTAGTGCCTCTTGAAAAAGTTACGCCTAAACCTATTTACGATAGTTTAATTTCGTTTACATTGTTTCTGATACAATTTAGAATGACGATAATTCTGAATAATGTTTTACCCTTGTAAGAATTCGAATTTTGGGCCTATTTAACTACTTAACTATATTAATTGCTAGATGTGGCAATTTCATTATTATATACACTAACAACTGAATGTAACTATATACACGGTGATGCAAGGAGTACGGTTCCTTTTAATATACATTGTCACTTAATACCACTAAAAACTGGGAATTATAAAGGTGAAACGATAAGAAATGATAAAAAGAAAAAAACTGAAAATAGATTAAAAGCAAATTTATTGCTAAAATAAAATAAAATTATAACTAAGCAATACAATATTTGCTTAATCGTAGACGTCTCGCATTTGCTTCTAAATTTGTACGTTCTATAGAAATATATAAAAAAAGAAATAAAATGAGATAAAAATATTTTTAATTTAACGGAGTACGTAATGTTTGATGGTGGCGAGCATTGAGCGGTCTCTAATGAGCGACACTATAATATACACATAAAAAACATACAGTAGTATAAAATAAACATTAATAATTTAATTGTACAACTTATATAATCCAATTATAATAATATTTAAAACCTCTACGGTTCATATAAACATAATAATACTTTTCAACTGGGCTCAGTATCATACCTAAAATTTACATCAGATTGCACTTTAAAATTTCATTAACAATTAAATGAACATCACTATATATAAGTTATGGGCGACGTCTTACGGCTAGCCGCGCTCTAACCTATTTGTATACAGCGCCTGCCTCGCGACATCACTCACGTATTTGGTATGTTTATTTACAATAATCTAATTTATAAAGTAAGCCGTAACTTAACAATACTTAGACATTTGTACCCGACCACGTGGTACGTCCACTACGCTTAGAATAATAAAAAAAAAAATTAAAGCAAAATGCATATTTTTGTATCGTAAGGTTTTCTCGTCCTACGTAAGGACGTATGCCTGGCATATTACGAGAACAATAAGGTCTATGTACAAAGTCTTTGGCCTTACAATCGAAATATAACAAAACACATATAACTACACTTTAGTATTTGCACTGAACATTCTCTACACGGGGTACAGTCGACACGCCGGCCCATTCGATGGGCTCGCAGACCTAACTAATAATAAATAACGTTCCACGTGATATGGTGCACCCGCTACGACCCGTCTCGAACACACTACAACGTCCAAATCACATTAAAGTCTAATATTCCCACCTGTCGTCGTCATTTTCTGTTTTGATTTTGTCCTCCGGGTGGACGTCTTCGGGCGGGGTGTGGGGCGGCCGTGGGGTGTGCGGCGTGTGTGGGGTGTGTGGGGTGTGCGGGGTGTGCGGCGTGTGGGGCGTGTGCGGGGTGTGCGGGGTGCGCGGGGGCGGGGAGGCCGCCGGCGACGAGTCCCGCGCGACGGGCGCCGGCTCCACCCGCACGGTCTCCTCGGTCTCCCTTCTGAAGTCGTCGCTCCTCATCACGCACACGCCGTTGATGATCACCTCGTCGGGGTTCCGCGGCTTCTCGTCCTGCCAGTCGGGGTTCACCCACTGCGGCGCGGCCGGTTTCCGCCGGCTCGAGCGGGCGGCCGGCGTGGACGTCGCCTTCGGTTCAGTCTTAGATTCCCCGTCGTCGAGCGAGTCGTCCGAGCCGAGGTTGCTCTCGACGTCGTCGTCCTCGAAGTCGTCGCCGTCCGGTTCCCGTTTCAGCGGCATCGATAGGTCGAGGCCTCCGCTTTGGTCCTTCACTTGGTCGTCGGGCGGGACGAGGCCCCGACTGATCAGAGCTGCGAGATTAGTATTCGCCGCGAAATATGGCGGATACGGCAAAGGTACTCCGGCGAGACCCATCCTCTCTTTCTGGAGTTCGAGCAGTCGCTGATTGAGCAATAGTCTGAATTGTACTGGCTCGAATGGCGCAGAAGATTGGTCGCGAGCTGGAGGCTCCGCGGGCAGTCCGTGGGGAGCTTGCTGCTTCAGCCGCATGCGATGGTTATGGAACCAATTCGTTATTGTTCTTGTGGATAAACCGAGTTCTGCAGCTAAGAATTCTATCGTGGGCATGTTCGGGTAAGGATCTAGAGCGAAAGCTAATCTTAGGGCTTCCTTCTGTTCCTCTGAAAATAGAACGCGTTGTTTCTTCGCTGAAGGCACGCCTGATGTTGGTCCCGGCGAACTGGAGTGGTAAAATTCGGATGTGTCGTTAGAGGACGTGTCGGAGGAGTTATCCTGTCCAGGACCGCTCGACCGTCGTCGTTTATTAGCTTCTCTTCTCTCATTCTTCAAGGCTTGTAAACGATCTATATTATGGGCGTCGCTGAGCCATAGTTGCATTCTGATGAAAGGCTCCCGACCTTTAATACTGAGCATGTGCCAAGGTTTCGGCTTGGACAGCAGTTCACTGACCGACCCTTGTGATAAACCTAGTACAGCTTCGCCGAAAATCTTCTGTCCGATGTTATTTGCAAGCAATGCCTCCTTGATTTTTGTAGTTATCGTTTGCGTATCTAAATCTTGCGTTAGAGCTGCCATTTCGTATACACTGGGAGATATGTGCTGAGGAAGATTGCGCATGATTGGTGGTTGGTGGTGCGGCTGAGGTGGAGGTGGTGGTTTTCTCTCCTTGTTGTTGTTGTCGTGGTGCTGCGGCGGTATCGTTACAGCGTGGTGTGGAGGGAAACCAGGGGGCGTTAGGAGTAGAGGAGTCGGCTGGCCCAAATGGCCCAGATGAGCCCCAGGCCCCAGGAGCTGTTCTTGTTGCATTTTGCTAAGTAAAGAGGTCGCATCGGAGAGCATCTTTTGCGTAGGAGGCATCGGCTTGTTCATGTTGGGCGGACATGCTGTGGATAATGAAAAAGAAAATATCAATATTTGAATTAAAAGTCTACATATAAATGTGAGTTCTATTACTTTATATAATCACTTGGTTGTTGGACTGTAATATCTTTCGTATACTAAAATAATGTATTATTCTAGTCTAGACAGAGCAAACATGATTGTTCATCCATTTTTGTCGGCAAATTTTTACATGTGTATGTTTAAAACTTGAAGATTGAAATAGATATGGAGTAGACGACATACTCAAAATAGAAATTGTAAAAAGTAGGGTTGCAATTATTCTAATTAAAGTTTATAAATGTGTACTTACGAGGTGCTCCGCTATAGTTGCCAGTCCTCATGAGCTTCTCTGGCGCAATTTTGTATTGTGACGCGACTAATTTATGGACAGCATTGTCATCTTCCAAGAACATCTTCATGCGAATGAACGGTTCCCGGCCCTTCTGTGTGAGCATATGCCACGGCTTTGGCCTCGCCAACAGATCACTGACCGACCCTTGAGATAGACCTAACACCGATTCGCCGAACAGTCTTTGGCTGATGGAGTATTGACTAAGAGCTTCCTTCACTCTCCTTACAATGTCTTCTGTGTTTAAATTATTAAAGAGATCGAATTGTTGCTGAGTGATTGGTGGAAGAACTGCTTTCATGGAGCGCTGTGGCGGTGCGTGATGAGTAGGATTCGTTGGCTGTGAAATAAGACTATTTGTGATGGATGCCATCCGTTGCAGAGGGCTCGCTGCAGCTGAGCTACTGAAGTCCTCGTTGGGGGTAATCGCAGGCGGAAGTATGGCGTTTCCGAGCGGGCTGGACGCAGATGACCCTGTGGATTGTTGTCCAGGCTCCAACTTCGGCCTGACTAATGAGAATGCACTTCCCGCATGTCTTATAGCCTCTTCAGCATCTAATGGCCTATCCTTATCACTATCAGTCATTCCATTAATTTTGGCATTTTTGTCCTTAGGTAGAGAGAGGTCCTGTACTGCACCAGAGCCGTTCATGTGGTGATTTTGAGCTTGCTGCATGACCTGCTGCTGCAGGGCGAGGAGGTTAGGGAACGGAGGCATCGTTGGCAAGTTGTGGAGGTTGGGAATGTTGGCACCGGGCTGGATTTTGGCCAGCTCTCTGTGGTAGGCTTCTAATGCCATGCGGATGTCCTCGGGCGGCCGCTCTATGTGCGGTGGCATGCCGCCGCTGAAAAAAGGGGGAAACATGCTAAACTTTAGTTTTAGATTTGCTGTCCTCTTATAAATTACTAATTTTATTTATTAATTTCCATACTTAGAAACTATTACTATAGTTGTCTAATTTGTTAAAGTTTTCTAATATTGTCTGTAACTAAATTTTATATGTATTGGAATTATTACAGAAATTGATATATTTTAACAGGTTTCATTCACCGAATAAAGTTTAGAACAACATCATTACATTACTATAAATGAAGCATTTAGACTACTGTTATCGTTATAGTTTTATTTTTAGTTATCCATTTCTTGGACAAATGTATGTCGTATGCTCTTAGAGTCGCCTCTTATGACATCCTAGTGATGCCATTTTATTCTTGTATCTATACCTCAAGTAGAAGTAAGCACTTTATTTATTAATAAAATAAAAAATAAAAGATATTTTTACTTACCCTGGGAACCCCTCGCGACTGTGGCGGACGTCCTCCACTCGCCTGGTCATGATCTTGGCCAGCTCCTCCTGGTAGATCCGCGCCACCTTCTCCTGAGGAATGTCATCGTTCTCGTATTTTTTCAGTCTTTTGTTTTGACTCGAATCCTGGAATAAATAATTAATAATTATATATATAATAATTAATTAATATTCCCATGTGAATTTGATTAGAAATCATATTTTAGGAGACCGTTCGAAATTTTAGAGACAGTTCAAAAAGTTCGAAATTTAGGAGATTGTGATTTAGGCTGAATCATAATAATGAATACAAATGTTTGCATCGTCCGAGGAATCGAACCAGCGACCTTTGGAAAGTGAGGTTGTGTTACCATTTAAAGATAATGACGTAGAACCTTACCTTATTAGAGAATGGCGAAGGGCACTGCGTCCGAGGGGAGCTGGAGTCCTCATTACTTCTGGAATCGTCGTTGTTCTGCTGTCCAGGTGTCTTGGTGGAGTATGATGCCTCGTTGAGCATGTGCATGAGACGGTCATCACCATCGCCTTCCGGCCGTCCGAAGCCAGGGCCGATTGTACCGTCTTTTGTGCCCACTGTAAAGAAAAATAACGGTTATGTAACGGTTTCCAACATTTCCAAGAGTAGATTTAATAACCACTATTTGTTACTTGAACTTAATGTTAGACATAGACACCAATAAGTAGAAAAAAGAAATTAAATTGGCTTTTTAAAAAAATAAATTCAGTTGAGTTTCTAGCCAGTTCTTTTAATTGAATCTGTATTCAGTATACAGTTTAAATTGAATTGGACGGTAGGGTAAAAATGTTAATAGAATAGAATAGAATAGAATAGAAAATCATTTATTCAAATAAACTTAATTTAAGCACTTTTGAATAGTCATAACAATTTGTTTTTTATCTACCACTCGTTCGGAATACACAAAATTGTTAATACAAAAAATTGACCTTCACAAGTAGCTAAAATGTCCTAATTGAATGATGAATTTCTTAATTTTTTAATCGCATATAGAAACGTAAGAACAATATCTACATTATACATATAAGCCTTCCTAGGGAATAATTCTATCTATTGTTAAAAACTGCATAAATATCAGTTACGTAGTTTAAAAGATATAAGATCTAAGCGAATCGATTATAGAAGCGACATCTTTTATACTGTATAAAGATATATTTCCTAAGATTTTTTTCTCTGTAAAAAAATGATACTAGCATCACTGAATATTAAATATTTTTTAACATTTGTATACAAACTATATATTGTATAGAGTTTAATAAAGTAAGTAAGTAATTATATAGAAATAAAAGAAACCATACTCCTCTGAAACGGCTTGACCGATTTTTATGTAATTATATATGCATATACAGTAGGTCTGAGAATCGGCTGCTATCTATTTTTCATACCCCTAAGTGATAAGGGTTGTCCACCTCTAACTTTTTTTTTTTGAGGGCAAAATTTTTATTTATATATTTTTATTATGTGTCATTAAAAATACATACAACCCTAAATTTTCACCCTTCTATCACCAACCCCTATTTTTTTGATGAACAATTGAAATTTTTTAGGTTCAATGACCTAAAACTAAAAACCTTAAAATATATAATACAATAACTAAAATATATGTTCTAGATATGAAACTTTAGTTTCACACTTAGAAACATATAATCGTTTTAGAGAATTGTCCTCAATATATCTAATCATAAGCACAATTTCGTAACACCGTTTAAACGCCCAGCCGTACTCAAGTTTTAATTGCGTCTAAATTGCCACACATACAAACATAGCCGCGCGAATCACACAGTCTAAAGTCGTGCCAAGTAATAAATATAGGAGTTATATTTGGTACAATTGAAATTAGGTGGATCATTAACGTGCACACTGCAATGAATAGTGCTTTAATGATAATCGTTGAATGGGAGCGGCCACTCATCGCCTAAGCCAGTAATCCTAAAACGGCGCGCGCGCACCCATAAACAAGTGAAATTACGCGCGAAAACCGCCCGCCATATTGTGGTCATTCATCCTGTCAACATATTGTCTTTGGTCTCACAATGAAACCACTATTTAGATGCTGATATATGCATAACATTAGTTTAATTAAGGCGCGTAATTAGCTACTGTCTGCAGGGATGTGTTCGGAATAAATGCTGTTAAGTTCTATGCACAAATATGTGCCATTGTGGAGTCAAGTGGCTGTTCAATGTTCTCTTCTTTAATGTTATTAACTTCTTCAATGAACTTATCCTTAGAATAATGAATTTACTTAATATATTTCTATTGGAGATAAATAAATAATCTCTGTACAATTCACACAGCGCCATCTAGATCCAAATTAAGCTACCTAAAGCTTGTGTTATGGGTACTTGACAACTGATACAAATACATAGATATGTTTTTTTTTTCGTAAATACATACATATTATACATAGAAAATACCCAGACCGATACAAACAATCATACTCATAAATACAAATGTTTGTGCCGTGCGAGGAATCGAACCCGCGACCATCGGACGTAAAGCGGTGTGCTTGACCGCTAGACCACCGAGGTTGTCAATAACTCTTTTAAATAGACGAATATTATAAGGAATTTCCAGAGCAGTATGGTTTTTTTGATTGGAATCAATTTCTTGCATATAAACATAATAATGTACATATTTCTTCGAAGATAGTATATTACCTACGCTTTTTACACGTGTGATTTGTTATCAATTTCGGCGAATTTCGAATATTAAGCCTAAAACAAACATGTCCTCATTTCGTGTTATCTGTTCAAGACCGCATGTCTATCACACCGGCTGAGATGAACATCCGTCGTCATTCCCTTAATTTGATAAATAATAGCTAGTGATACGCTTTGCACAAGTGAAATTATTGTAGGGACATCTATTTTTATATGTAAAATTGGGGTGAGAGGATTATAAGCAATGTGGACTGATGGTCCTATTGCTAGTAATAGCATCCGTCATTCTGTTTACGTCTCCAGTCCAGTTTTATAAGGAACAGGACATCGTCGACTATACTCGAACCAAAAGTATCCTGACATTGAAGGACGCAGCTGGAATCGAGTCAGAACGTGATCTTTAAAGCGGTCGTGGCCCGTCCCATCAACATGCTGCCCACCTTCATGAAGGAGTAGGTTTTGGCAGAAGGTTGTGGTGTATCGACGCTAATGTGGCGATCATCACTGCCATGACCATAAAGACAATTTGAATTTATATTTTATTATTATGTCTTATGTATGTTAGTCTAAATGTTGACAGCCTCGGTGATCTAGTGATTTAGCACACCGCTTTACTATCCGATGGTTGTGGGTTCGATTCCTTGCACGGTTCAAACATTTGTATTTGTGTAAATATGATTGTTTGTATCGATTTAGGTGTTTTCTATATATGTATTTATTTAAAAAAATTTAATGTATAAGTATTTATATCAGTTGTCTAGTACCCGTAACAAAGTCTGCGTAGCTTGGGACTAGATGGCGCTGTGTGATTTGTCGTAAGATATATATGTTATTTATCATATGGGCCATGTCAATGTTATATCTTTATACATATTGTATTAATATATATATTCTGTATATAATATAGTTTGTTTATATTCTGTGAGGAGAACAATAAAGAATTTTCATTTCATTTCATGTAGCCTGAATTAAATAAAATAAAAAAACAACCTGTCTAATGATTGTTTTATTAACATCAGTCCTTTGGTAAACAATATTTCATTCGTTCTGCGGTTTGTTTACGACGCCGAGAAAAGATCGAGCGGTTTCAGATGCAGCATATTAAGTTTTATAAGTATGCATTTTATTATCTCCTTAAATGTTATTTTAAACCGACAATGTGTCCGGTGATTTTGCTCCCGAGGTATTTACTGTTGCTTGTTTATTTTATATTTCACGAAACAACTGAAATTAACTCTTGATTAATTGACCGTTAACAGAACAATTACGATGGCAGCAGCCATGTTTTTGGATTTTTCTTTTTTTTTTATGATACGCAAAACGGTTTTGATATACAGCCAGTTATTGAGTTCAAGAAGTTATATATATACAGTGTAAATATTAATTTAATTAATTGATTAAAGGAATTTATTGAGATTTTATACAATTGTAGCGATTTTTTCAGTTTTATTATGCCTGGACAATTCACACGCTGCCATCTAGTGCCGATATGCCGTGTAGTTATCTAGAGCCGAGGTATTTAGGTACATAAAAAAGTTATGTTGATAATGAGGAAAACTTTTTTTAAGATATACAAAAAATTAGTATGATCTAAGTAGCCGACCTACTTATTGTGGATAGTACTGTATTGAGAAATTTAGTCTATTGCCTTTGTCTTAGATTCTAGTTTGCTCAGTGTTGACCTATGCATACCTATGTATGAACTATTTTGAGCTTACGTGATAATTTTTAGTTAGTCCCATGTAAATTTTTAACAATAAGTTAAATGTTAATAAATATAAAAAACCCATAAATTGGTACAGTTGTTAAGCGTGGCAACCGTGGCCTATATGAACAACATCTTTGAGAACAAGTTACATTGTGATGCTCTTGATATCACCCATGTATTTCCATTCCGTATAATGCCGGATGTCCGAAGTATTGGTTGGTTTTCCGTAATACTATCAAGTCAAATTATGTACAAGTGGCGGTAATGAGCCACTTATAAACTTTCACTGTACAATGTTATATTATGTAAGTTGTGACATAGTGGGTATTAGATTCCCACGTTCTACTTGTATTTCGAATCTGCGCGACATGCAAACAATATGTCCTTCTGTACTTTGTATTTTTTGTGTGAAACCGCCATTCACAGAGACTTAACGACTTATGACTAAGCGTACGTGATCTAAATAAATTTAAAAAATGACCGCCTCGCTCCTTTGATTATATCTCGTATGACCATAATGTTCTTAAGTTGTAGCTCATAATAATAGTAGACAATAACTCTACATACGTGTTTTGGCGGTATAATTGCCTTGTTTACTTTTTAATGTCTCGTTAAATTGGCACTTTATTTGGTTCGTCTTAATTTTATGTCGATTTCGTTCAGACACACGACTTTCTTGTGTATATATATGGCCTGTAATAACGTTTTATGAGGCACTATGTCATATTATATTGCGTGTCGATTTTAAACGGAATTCAAGGAATTATAATATATTAGATTTATTATTTAATCTCTATCGTAGCAGTTATATTGAACATATTATTTGTAAATTACTTTGACTTGTGTAATGAAAATGTTAAGCATTACTATTTTGTTTAACATATAAGTAATCTGATATCACTATATGACTATGGGCATAGGTACATATAGGAGAATAATTTGTCAAATATAATAGTGTATTTTTAAACTTTTAAATGTATATATATGCATTTATGGTTTTATACTATCATCTTATACACAAAGTAGTAACGTTGATTATCTAATATATAACATTCAAAAAATGTTTTTTTTAGTTTTTTAAAGAAAGTACGTCAAGTTTTCGATGACGCTTTGAAGTTTCATCATTTTTTGTAGCAATGTTGAGAAACATTCAGTCTTTATATTATTTATGTAAGGATATCAAGTA